AATGAATTTAATCAAGTTTCTTATCTATTTTTCGTAGATCACAATAAAATAAATGAAAAAAATTGAATATAAACCAAAAATATGATAAAACAATATTTAATAAATGTAATCATATCATCTAAACATCAAATTAACTCTCAAAATCCTTCAAAAACACAGATATATTCGCCTAGTACTCACTCGGACTCAAGATCCGATCAAAATTTTCAGTCATGGGCAATAATTTAAAAGTTGCTTTCAAATACCATAGGCAAATTGAGCAAAATTAAAAACAAATCCCAGAACCTCATAGATCCAAAGATCAATCAATGAAATTTCTACAAAAAAAACCCTAAAATTTGATCTCAAGGAGGTCACATGTTGAGCCTCAAGACGGCGGGCGACACTGACATAGGGAGGAAGGAGCCAGACATGGAGTTGATCTCGAATCGAAGGTGATGTTGGCGACGGTTCAGATAGTGCTAGCGATGAAAAAATCTCGCCAGTGGTGCGTGGCGAAGACGGAGAAGCTCTTGTGACGTGGATCTGTTGACCACCTTCATCACGTCGAACCTTATGGCGTTCGTTGTCCACGATGAGCGTGTTTGGTTTTCTTTGACTCTGCCAAAAATAAACGGGTGGGGGTGGGAGTGGGGGAAGGAATAATAGATGTAATTTTAAGCATGGAATTTTGACACATAAGATCCGAAGCATGCAAGTATGCCACTTAGGCTTAACACATTCGAGAAATGCCCGTTCCGCTGGGGTTCACAATCTTCCTTGCTGCATCATTCGATATAGCATCTAAGAATTAGTCGAGAGGGGACGATGAGAACGAAAGGACGGATGGTCGGCGTACGACGCGGTGCAGCCTTCGGCAGGATATATAAAATAAATAAATTATATTTATATTCATAATTTATAATAAAAAATATTTATTAAAATTAATGAGAAAAATAAAATTATTTCTCAATTAATATAATAATATTAATGTAAATGTTATAAGTTTAAAAATTTATTATAATATAACACAAGCAAGTCGCACAAGTAACAAGTGTCATACTAAATAAATATAATATATATTTTTTATAAAAAATATTTAAATTTTCAATTACTTTTTCTCATTAATTTTAATTTTTTTTTAAAAAAAATTAGCAAGTACCCGTGTAATACACTAGCGTTGTACTAGTTTAAAAATATTGTTGAATATAAATAAAAAGTGGATATTTAAATATAATGGATAAATATAAGTTATTATTAGTTAGTTTATGTATTCGAATGTTTGAAATTGATTTAATATTTAATTAATAAAATTATATGTATATAACTTTTATTATATAAAACATTATATATACATAAATTAATAAATATAATCATTGATCGAATTGATGAAATATTAACCAGTAACTTGATCAGTTCGATGACGGGTGTAGTTTTCAAAACCTCATTGGTATCACGGGATGTGCATTACTCGTTAGGCGATTTTGCTAAGAACCAACAATTGACTTCATAGTGGAACTAATTTTCTATATACAACAAATAAACCGACTCACTAGGTAGCGGCGTATCGAGACTCGAGAGTTGATTATACAATAAATCTGATTGATTCAACTGGTTATTCAACAAATCAAGGACAATCATAGTTTACTTGGAAACAAACCAAACATCAGACCGTTAAAATGCAATATAAAGAAAGACATTGATCAAGTTGAAATCGCCCGAGTAAAAACTTTTTTTGGTAAGTCTATCAAACGCGTAAACAATAAAAACTTTGCATCTCTCTGTCTCTCCCTCCTATAATCTCTCCCTACCCAAATAGCCCACCACAAAATCTCAATGCATAATACTCTCTCCCTCTAAAACAACATTCTAAAAAAATATCAATCCTCCTCTCCCCCTCTCTCTATCTCTCTCTCCACCTCCTTCCCGATGGGCACCTGCTGCTCCCGTGGTGCCGCGGACGAAAATGTCCCCCCCGACCCCTCGGCCAAGCCGGCCGCCACAGCCACAACCCCATCCCCTCCCCACG